ATACTTTTACGTATAGTTTACATATGTTTAAATGTAAATTAACTTTTCAATATCTATCCTTCAGTGTTGATGGACTATTCCTAGCAAAGTGTAACCAGTCAAGTAGTGCGATAAGTGGGACATTGACTGAGACCACAGGTAGGGAAAAGTAGCTATATCAGAGCCCAAGTAATTTACTTTATTAACAATGGCTTTTAAAAATAACGGTACTGATAATCTTAAAAGTGCTGAACATTGGATTTGGTAATTGGTTTATCCCGAGCACAACACAAAGTGACCATGCTTAAATATTCAGTTTAAAAAACTTTTTTTTTTTAAATACATTTTAAAAAAAATCTATACAGCAAGGCACTTGTATAAAATTGTGTATATTTTCCAATGTTCTCCTACCATTGTTTTTATATTATCTTACTGTCTTCACTAAGGCTTCATAATCGCTTTTTAATGCTTTATAAAGCACTCTATAACTCCTGTTTTAAAAGTACTGTCGAGTTTATGTTTATTGTTATTATCACTTGAGAAGCTTTATAATGGTGACATTGGGTTTATGCCAGGGCTATTGCAATTTACCGCGTTTCAGTTTAACTGGTGAGGTCTGTTCATATTGCTCTCCTTGTGCTGCGATCTGACCGATGTGTTGAAACATTCAGCAAGAGTTCATCACATACAAAGGAATGCATAGTTTGACAGCTGAACCCATAGTTCATCCCACACTAATCAGGTATTTTATATTTGCCAGCAGCCTACACATGGAGTTAATTAAATTACGCGAACACGGATTAATGATTAAAAGCAAGCATCCACCAGATTTTTTTTTTTTTTTACTGTGGCTGTGTTGATAATTCAGTCTTAAGCATCAGAGCATCATCTGAACTGCCATTCAGAATTTTACTTGTACTTTCAGAGCACAGAGCAGCAGGATTTAGCGATTTGGTGGCTGCAGACCAACTCTGTCTTACTTTATTTTCAGTTTTTCTCTAATTAAATGTTGTGGTAGTGGTAGAGGAAGTACTTCAACTGTTCTCTTTACCAAAACTATTAATATCAAACCACAAAAACACAGTCGATGAAAAAGTCCTGCATTCATTTCATAATTAAAAGTGATGAGTAAAAAAGGTATTATCAGCACAATGTACTGACATTTACTTGATATCTGCTCAAGGTGGAGCTTTTATTTCTGATATAATGCTGGAGAGATTAATGAAACACATTGCAGAATATTTGATTTTGTGAATAAAACCTGTGACGCTGTCCATATTGCTCTGATCATTCCCATCAACACAACATTTTCTCTTTAAAAAAATCAATCAAAAAGTAACTGTTGAATACCTCTTTTATGAGAAAAAAACACTGATGTCAATTGGTAATAGTCACAACTAAACACAGGCCCACACTGCCTTTATAACAGCAAGTTTCCACAACAACTTAGTGCCTCGCAAAGCAAAACCCTGGTGTTATGAGCAACACACAAGCACGGCCATTGTTGTGTTGTGTGTTGGCCTGTGCGTGAGCATAACTTCGAGCTTAACTTAAAACATATTCAAATTTGTATTGCCAAATTAAGACATACAGAAAATCTCAGCAAAGAGTTTACAACAGAATTTAATAATTATCATTCCAGTAACTGTGTCTTCACAAACACCAGGGTTGGTTTAGTCGTTGTTTTAGGACCCGTTGCAAGAGGGAGGAACGGTTAGAACCCTAATATACTATGCAAGTGTTTTTGTTGGGTGTTTTTCTTTTGACCAGGTGGATTTTTGGTTTTTTTTTGGTCTCTGTTTTGTAATTCTTGCTAACATTTTACATGATTTTATTATGACATGAATGACACGTGACAACACTAAAAACTAATTGTGTGTTTTTAGCTTTTTCTCATTTTTAATGCCAACTTTGGCTGTCACAGTTGACAAGAATATGATGAATGTGCAAACATCTGGAGCTCCTTCCGCTGAAGTAACCCAACAAGAAAACATGGTCACCAATTCAACCAATACAGACTGCACTGGTTTTAGTTAGGTGTTTCTATTTGGAAAAAAAAAAAAAAAAGTGGCAACTGTGAGTACTTTTATATTTCTAAAAAGCATTCATGCTGCAGTTAGATGCTACGCAGGAAATAGACTGTAGTCTGTTATGACTTCAGTAAGTTCTAATTGTGTTCACTTAAACACACTTATTGTGTACATAATATATTGATATTAAAATATATATTTCAAAGGAGGATAGACATTGTTCATAAGCTCGCGTCTTTCCGTGGTTTACCTAAATAGTATTTGCATGTGACGTGGCCACAGTTGAAGCGATATTTATCTCACAAAATGTGTCATGATCCTTGTTGTGAGTCACGTAGGACCCTTGTAACCGACGTTAAGTTCACGTCATGTCACACTGAAAAAAAAAAAAAAAAGCGGTCTAGCTAACATTAACGTTGCATAATCTACGAAGGCAGAAAGGGTGTCTAAACACTTCACAAATGTAACCTAGCTCACATGCAACGTTGCCCCCAAATTAAGCCTTAATCACCGACACCTGTGTGCCACATTCAGCCAGCAGCTCCCCGCTACGCCCCGGTAGGCTGCACGCTACCCGCTAGTGCCGCGATGCTAATGCTAGTTTTTGGCACTAACGACCGGCTGCTGCGACGTCGTGCGGCTTTAATTTGCCAGCGCCTGCTAAAATGCGGGTCCATTTCGTGGTTCTAGCTTAATGTTCATTTAGCAAATGGTTACTGACCTGTCGAAATACGAGAGTCTCAGCTGCTCATTATCCGTTGCTGGCTAAGCTTGCTAGCCACTTCCTGGTTACAACTCACTTCCACTGACGTGTACGTCGCTCCCGCGGTTACGTCATCGACCACCACGGACAGGTCAACCACTGAGAGTAAATGTAAAATAAATAATAAATAAACTTAAGGAGTGTTAAAGCAAACGTGCAAATACGATAACACAAAGGGATATGTGCATTTTTATATATATATAAATTTATAATATATATAATTTACATATATATAAATTTAGCTTGTCTAGAGTAGTGTTTTTGCTTATCTAGAATAAACCACTAGAGTTTGTTTGAGAGTGGACAACTGCATTAATAAGTGTGAAATGTAAGCAAGTCCCCAAATTTGAATAATTTAAATGTCCAATAAGGCAATAAATAAATAAATAAATAAAATAATAATAATAATTTTACTTTAATAGTGTGTTTTGTTTGGGTTTTTTTTTTTAATAAACTTGGAGGTGTAAACTAAAAGCTGTTAAGACATTCCTCCAGCCATTCCTGAAGCCCCATCTACAGCTCGATTGTCTCCCGGCTTTACAACTGAGTTACAATTTGACCTAAGTGCCACTTACCGCTGAATGAACCAATAGTCATCTAGCTCCATCTTTATATAATCCTGCCCCCACACTGTCTGCTGCTTGCCATGTGAGCCATTCAGAAAGAGCAGCTGCCTCACAGTCCACCACGTTTATTTACTTTCAAGAGTCGCCTCTGCGAAATCTAAATTGTCTCAGCCAAGGGAAAAGCTCACCAAATGTTCTGCTGTTGACTGCGACAGTGAACACAAGAGTCTCCATACACTCCCAGCATCTGAACAACAAAAGATCCAGAGGATTGCTTGTATTATTGATAGAAATGTCAATAGAGCATTCGTAAGATCCCTGGTATGAATATGTTGTGCAGTAAATGTGGCTAATGTAGGTGAAGACAGCTGGTTGTTAGTGTCAAAACTATTGTTGTGAATCCGTAAGTATTTTCATGCAACATCATAAGAAATTAATGTCGAAGCAATAGAAAGTCTTTGGCTCACACACTTGTTCACAGCTTTGTCAGATGCCTTTTTATGAACCGTTTTGCTCTGCGCTGTCAATGACAGACACAGACACAGTCTTCTTCCTGAAGTGGAAATGATAGCAGCTCTGCTACATTTAAAGCTACAGAAACTTAAACAGTCCATTAGCAACTGGGGTTATACAGCCACATTTTTTCATATTTTGAACTGAAAACTTGAAAGAGACATTCGAAGGACATGCAAGTCTTTCATTACTGTCTGAAAAAAGGGTTCAGTATGGGATATTTTACATACATTTCTCTAAACCAGTTCTTTCAGTGTAGGAAATAAAGCTGTGCTATGAAGAAACACGGCAAGGTCTCTTAAATGTACCATAAATGGAATCAAGGCTCATACCTTTGGGAAAAACAACAATCAAAACTTTGTTCAACCATAATCTGCTTTTGAGTTTCAGGTTTAAGTTAATAGTGTTACACAGTCTAATCAATAAGACAGCCAATGAGAGAAAGTACCAATACAAGAGAAAAACATAGTTGAAATATAACCTGAACAAAATACTAACAGCAGTGAACGTTTAAGACGAAGTCTAAAATGTCATTTCTATTGTTATAGTTAGAAAAGGCTCTAATTTTGCCAATCGTGCACAAAAAGTTTTCCAGTCGTTCACCTGGTGATAAAACTAAAACAAGCTGTTGGCACTTGAATATCCACAACTCCACCATTTGTTGTCTAAGAAGTAATTTCACACAGCTCTGAATAGACGTGTCTGACAACACAATCCCGTTTCCCAAAAAGTCTGCCAACTTTACCGAGAGCTTCAGGAAGAGTGGGACAACACTGTACGAGCAGCATCAACACATTCATTAACTCTGTGTGTCACAGATGTGTGACTCATTACTGACTTGACTTCTAGTCTATGACTCCACTCTTTTTCTGCTCATTCCCAGTATAGTACGTACATGGTTGTTTCGTGACGTCCATTCTGTTGTAGAAATGCCACGTGATGGAACAACAAATACGTATTCCCCTATGTTAAAAAGAAACAGACACAATTTCATAAAATATTACGAGTTTCTCTTTTCACTCAGTATACATCAAAGCTCACAACTAATGACAATCAAATGTGATTGATATACATCTTCATTTTCCCTCAGTCACTTATTCTTGGTTACTCTTTCACCCAAACAGCTGGCAAAGAAACAAACAAACAAACTTTATTTTGTTGCCTTTTTTTAATGAATGAAACATTTTAACTTTGGTCAACATGTAAAACTGTTAGACAAGGGCAGAAAAGTCTCAGTGACAAACTTTCTTCCAAGAAAAACTTGACTTGGCCTTGTCAGATTCCAAGGTTAAAGATTTTCAGACGCTCTCTCCAGCACGGTTCGTTTTGCGTTTGAAGGTTACCCGTCCAGAATCATTTGCTGGCCATGAGGCTGTAGATACATGAGTTAACAGCGAGAAAAGTCAGTGTTCAAAATATTACTTTAATTTTTTATTTTTTTTTTTTGCATACACATGAACCCCAATTTATTATTTTTTAGAAATTGTTTCCAAAGTACATTTGCCCCAATGCACGTTTCAAATAAACACCCAAACCGTGCCCAAACACCTCTTGCTTTGACTGCTGCTTTACAAAGTAAACATCTGGCCTCGGAGACCAAGATTCAAAGAAAAAAAAATAAAAATAACAAAAAGCACTGTTCATAAAGTATCAATAGAACCACTTGAACCAGAAGGTACAAAGCATGATGTCCTTGAAATAATTTCAAATAATTTGTGGCAGAAGATAAAAAGGTTTAGATCCTTGTGGCTGAGCTAAATTACTAAGTGCTCACTGACTGTACAGTATGCTCTGTCTGTCCTTAAGTGCTTTCTTCCATTTATAGCACAATACATGAAAAAAAAAGAAGAAAAGAAATGGCAACAGGTCAAACAAAGCAAAAAAAAAAAAAAAAAGAAAAGAAAAAAAACAAAATCATCTCCCACAAAATTCTGCCTGTCCGGTTTTTCTGCAGCTCTGACTTGAGTTATTCTTGACAAACAGGTACAAAGACTGAGGCAAAGGAAGGGGTCGCACCAACCCCAGAAATACAGAAAATTCTTCCAAAAAAAAAAAAAAAAAAACAATTGTCAAAAACAGTGATTAACAAGATGAAGGGAACTGAACGCCCGAGCCACTGTTCAGCTTACTTTCACCGAACGTCAACGCTGGTTTGTGTAATGACAACATGATCAGGGGAGGAACAAGGAAACGGTAGACTGCAGGCATGCCCAGTTTAAGGGAAACACGCTGAAGCAGAAAACAGGGTGTAAGAACCAGTAAACACCCCTGTATCCTCCTCCTCTTGCTGCTCTTCTTCTTGTGGATTAGTTCTTGATCATCCCTCCATCTCCTTCACTTACAAAACGCTTCCGCCCTCTGGTGGAGAAAGTGAAGTTTGAGCCAGTTAGAAGAGCAACAATACTAAAGAATTAAGTTGGTTATATTACATGTTTTCTTATGGTCAACAAATCATGTCAAAAAAAAAAAAAAGACCAAAACCAGCAATGAATTTATCTTACCAACTAGTATTCCTTGTGAAATCAAAGCCAAAGCTTAATCATCTGAGACTAAGTTTGAGATCTTAATTGTTGTCTAAAAACTACTAATAACATGACTGGACCACTCGGTTGCAGTAGGTGATGTTTTTCTGCACCACTATGAAAATGGGCAGCGTCGCTATGAAATTACTGAGACGTCTTTAAAAAATTAACCCTCTGACCCGGAGCAGTTTTTTTTGGGAGTTATTTTGTTCCAGTCGCATTTTCACTAACGGTGGGCTCATTTTAAACTGCAATAAAAAGTCCTGCCTCTCTGTGGAAACAGCACAACCATGACTCGAAGTAGAGACCCCAAAAATGTCAGAATAACAAAGCTATAATTCTATAAATCATAAACAAGGAAAAGGTCACATGATTAATTCAAAAACTTCTGTAAATGTGAAAATCCCACAGTTCTTCCCGCTTTTAAAGTTTCTTGCTACAATAAATGATGTCGTTTTGGTGATTTAAAAAAAATATTGTGCCTTTTAATCCTGCTGGGTTCTGAGGGTAAAGAATATATTTCAAACCTATTTTTACTCAGTACAAGTGCTTGTAGCTGAGAACTAGGAAAGTCAGATAATATTAATAAACAGATCATTGGTTTTCATGAAATTTTTGACAATATGAAAGCGGGAGTCTGAACGACTTAATTAGAAAATATAAAAAGGAAGTGCTAACTAGCTTCACAACTAACCTGGATGGACAGGCATCCCTAAGCTGTTTGGTGATGACAGACTCCTGGTAGCAGAGATCCACAAAGGTCTCCATGATGGAGTGGGCATGTGGCACATCAAGGCTGATTTCAGGGAGTTCATCGTAGACTCGTTGAAAACCCTGCACAGAAAACAGTGTATAAATATGAATATAAGGCATTATGACAAGGTTAAACGCTGTTAAAAAAAAAAAAACAATAAAAAAACGCACAATCAAAAATATTTAAAAGTAAAGCTAGAACATAAAAAAGGGCTAACCCTGTTCATCTGATCCACAGTGATGAGGCCTGTTTTCCAGAAGGACTGCAGAAGCTTTATCATCATATGACTGGCGGTGTCCCCTTTCGACTCCAGCACCATCACTACAGCCTGCAAAACAACAGTGATGCACAACATGATGTACGAGACTGACAAACGCGCTGCACCGAGTGCCATAATCCAATTAACAAGTGAATTGTGAGCAGAAATTAGGTCAGTAATGATCAAACATGTTCTTTTCCAGGACAGTGTTAAAATAGTTTACCTCATACCTGAATGACAGAAGAATCTTAATTTAAAAAAGGCAACTGCTCATCAAACCCAGCTCCCCTAAGACGTGGCATCCCCCAAGGTTCTATCTCAGGATCTCTTATATTTTGTCTTTACATGCTGCTGCTTGAGTACATCCTTAATAACCCACAGCATTTCATATGAGAGATGATGTGAGATTATATTTGGTGTTCCCAGCTCTTTTAATTGTCTGGACAAAGTGCTTCTGTGCAAAAAGCAGAACTATCCCCAAACTGTACACAACTTGTTGCAGAAACTTCCTGCATACGAGGTTTAATCTTATCCGACAACAGTTAGTTCAGAGCTGAGAGGATCTTAACTTGAGCCTACATTTTTGTTATTTGTCCTTAATGGTTTGGCTTCACAATATATTTTGGGTATGCTACTTTTTCAGTTACCACACCCAGCCTCTGAAACAGTCTTCTGTTCCAAATTAAATCCTCTTCAACTAATGGCAATTTCAAATCAAAATGAACGAGCCAGTTTTTGAACTGGCTTTTGGGCTTTTCTGCCCTTGTCACGTCCACTCTTAGTTTCTTTTTATTGCCATACTCTTTTGCATTGTCGGCAGATTTGACTCAGTTTCCTCTTTTGTTTGTATAGTTGTACCTCTTTTTCAGTCTAGTCAGTGTGCTTTACTTTGACCATCGTGTCATATGGTTGTCTTTACATTGTCTTTATACCTGAGTTTTCTTCCATGCATTTATATACACTATTGTATTCCTCATCTTTCCACTACTACCAATATTGTTGCTCGTAGCAAATCTGAATTTTCGGGTTTTCAGAGTATAATTTTGTATTTACCTTAATTTGTAACCTAGTCAGGCAACTGGGTTGAGTACATCATGCTGTGGGGTCGGAACCTTAATATTTAAATAAGTCTGCTAAATTATATAATATTGATATTATAGCGTCTTAACCTTAATTTTTTACCTTGTTGTATAAATCTGTTATGCCAATCTTATTTCTCTACTGAAACCACATCGAATCAACTTCTGTTTGAAAATGTGCTGTAAAAACGGTGACTTTTCAGAGGCATCTCAGCAGAACGTTGCACCACATGGTGGCAGTGTTTCCACCTTTACAGGAGGCAATTACCATCAGACATTTTCAAAACATGGGACTCAACAAGGCGCAGGCGGGACTGACAACATCACTTTGCTTATCTCACCAAATTTGGCAACATTAGCTTTGCTTTTTCGTTCACAGCTATCTTTAAATAATATAAACTGAATAAGACATTTTGGCATGTGCTGGTAAATTCACTTTGATTCCACTTTGAAGTCAGAGTACAAATCCAAACGGCAAAAATGTAAAACTGTCTGGATACTTTTTGAAAGTGTAGCAGCTGCATCAAAGTGCAAAACACACTGTGTACCAAACTCTTGGCAGAATAGCAAAAAGTCACATTAGCCAACATAGAACAACAAGTGCACAGATGTGTTACTGCTGTCGCACAATTGATCGCTTTATGTGCGACTGAACACAAGTGTGTGTGTGTTTAGTTGCACGTGATAGGCAAAAACCCTGAATGTATTTTTGACTTTTAGCCACTGCAGTTTCAACTGCAACATGTTTACCCCTAATCTAATCTAAAAAATCTGCTGTCCAAGAATGTGTGCGTTAAATGTGTGTACGTTAGAAATTTGATAACCAATTATCTGTTTATATATTTACACAAGTACGCATTTAGGATTGATTGATTTGGAGTGAGCTTCACGAATACATGCACTGCAAAAAAGAGAAAATCCCTGCCAAACACACAATGTCCTTGGCAGTAGACAGAAATGACAGTCACGGAGGAGATTTCTTTTTTTTTTTTTTTCTTCTTCTTCTAGTTTTGCTCTTCAGTTAACTTAAGTAGACACCAGGGACAGAAACACTTCAAAAGGTTCCATTTGTAGATTTCAAATGTAATCCAGTTGTTACAATGCGTGAAGGAATCCAAGAGAAATATTCCATTTAGCGTGAAACTATCTGCTAATTTGGTTTATATAAATACAGGCTGACGTAAGATCAAGTCTTTAGTACCTCGTAGACCAGCTCGTGGTGGAAGTGAGGGACTTCCAGGTCCCGCAGACAGCGCTCCGCCTCCGACACGTCTCCTGATATCAGGTACTCTTTGAGCAGAAGGTTCATCTGGAACAAACACACAAACCATCAGGTTACCAGTGTGTGCAAAGTGCATCAAACACAGCTGGAAACTGCACGGCTGCAAACATCTGCTAGCACAGGAAGTACCAACAGACACAGAGTCTCTCATGCTACACACTACATAAGAAGGTATTGATCTCCATTTGACATGTGAATTTGTGGAGGTCAGTGAACCATGTATTCATAAATGAAAGACATTTTGCCAAAACAATATTCAACCTAATTCAGACGATATGTATGAGGTTTATTATCCTGCATAATCAATAATATGAAAATGTCGCTCCAGCAGTTCAAGAGACAGAATCCTTCAACTTCCCAGAAGAGCTTCTACCTTGAAACAAATTGTGGAAACTACTGAGTTCCATTAACAGCAGCATAACAGCATCGGTGCCCAGTAAAGGTAGAAATGTTGTGAATTAATCTATGAGTAAGAAGACCTTTTTTGTTCAGTAGGAAAAGAAGTCAGAGGATTGAGTGAAAAAAAAAATACTTTGGAAGTTGAGAATGTGCTGAATTTATCCTGCAACACTAAGATGAATTTTGTTGTTGCCACCTGTGTTTCTCTGCTTTTATCTGGAGCAAACCTGTACTCCCTCCAAATGACCCTGGATATTGCGAAATTCCAGCAGCTGGACGGAGCTGAACCGAGGGCTCAATAATACCTAAAAATCTCTGAAGTATTTTAATTTAGCTATATTACTTCAGCAATAACCTGACTTCCTTGGGAAAAAAAATCTGCCATACATGTCTGATGTCCCCGATAAGTCAGTTTGGGGCCGTTGCTTGAATCCTTTTCATTTGTTAGTAGGCTTGGTTATGTCACTCTCACTGCTAATCAGCATGTACATCAACAAACGCTGTTTTAGTTAAACCTATTTATGGAACAATTAGTCATACCGCTTGAGATCTGAGGAGAGCGTGATCGATGCAAGATGCTCAAAAACGCTCGGAGAGAAATATGCTTCTGAATGAACTGTGAGGTTCACTGAGCTGAACTGATGTGTGGTCGTCTGAGCATCGAGAGAAACGTGACGGGAGAGAAGTGTAACGTGGACAAGCAGGAAAGCGGCGAAGAGAAGTGAAAACAGAGAGCGAATGAGGCCTCGCACCTCCTCCAGGCCAGTACACCTTGCCTCAGGCAGCAACTACCAGGCAGGAAATCAAAAATGGACAGGAGCGTCAGCAGGTCTGAGGCCGACACAAAGCACAGTGGCTGGGGGATCACCCATCTCTCATTTCCAAGCGTGCACACAGTCATTTAAATCGTTACATAACTTACAATTTGAAATACACAAAGATGCGCACTTCAAACTCCTACGCCCACATTCAAACACACACAGACACAATCCACAAAATCTAAAAACAATAATTGTAAAACAGACAAAGCCAAGAAACAGAGGGAGCGAAAGAGAAGCAGTGTGTCGCCTGTATTTCAGTTTAAGTCCTGGGTGTGTGTTCGTGTCGGTCCCTCTTGTGCCTTCGTTTTTGCGTTTCCCACTCCTCGGGGGAGAAAAATGCTGTGCTGACACAGCAAAATAGCAGAGGGCTGGCCTGCAGCTCGCTACCCAGCATGGATTTTTGCCGTCTGTTTACATTTATAATGTTAACAGAGACGCAGATCTTGTTACATTCTGACCTCAGGTGTAAAGGGTTACCTGTGAAATCAATTTGAGCGCTGAAACAAGCAAGTGACCTATCAGGTTCTGTTTACGGTTTTCAATTGAATATTCTACCCTTTTGTTGTGAGCTTTACCTCTTTGATAAGATGTTTAACGGGTCTCAGACCTCCACCGACACCCCACACATTGTCTAGACGGACCATCTCCCTCTTCATGGTCAGCAGCACTGCAGCACGGTCTAAAGCCACTCTGGAAAAACAAAAGATCGAGATGAAAAAAAAAAAAGAAGAACAAACTCACAATTTCAACGTGTTTTTAAAAAAGAAAAAAAAGGTGTTTCATCTTAACCCACCTGGCATGGTCACAGTCCACTTTGCCCTTGTAACAGTCCAGGAAAGACATGGGGAGGACGTGGTCCGCTATGGCTCTTGCTATAAACTGACCTAACATCTGAGAAAGACAAGAAAAAATATTTAAAACGTGAACACATCCCCCACATCGTATGTGTAAGTCCAATGTGTTATAGATGACAGATATAGTGCAACTGAACTACTACACAGTTGAATATTTTCATTAAAAAACACTCGAGCACTGCGACAGCGACATGCAAAGTGCGTTTTCCCCTAAATTATTTTCTACTACCCCACAGTCCTTAAATCTTTGTTATCAGCTTAGACTGAGGACAGAACCAAGATCCCAAAGATGATTTGGATTTTCCCACCGATTTCCACAACTGGATGAACCACTCAGCTTTTGAGGAAAACATAAGAGACACTGTGCTTCTCAAATAGTACAAAAGTTATCTTTTGCTTCATGAGTGTGGAAGTTACTTGGTGTTCAAAGCTCAAACTGTGTTTGATTTAAGTTTATATGAGGTAAACAATCTTGAATGTACATTGTGCCATATTTAATATTTCTATTTAATCATGTAGGCGTGTTAACGTAATGCCTTTCCACCCTCCTCGGTACACAATGACCCTCTCTGACTTTACCTGTGGAGCCTCCGGTGTGTCCAGTATGAGGTCTGGAAGCTCTTTGAGCATCTTGTCGAAAGCGCGGGCCATGTCGCTTTGTGACAGCAGCTTCCCCGACAGGTCAGACAGCAGTCGAGAGGTGAGCTCTCTGTGGCTGGCCTTGCCTTCGAGGGACAAGGACACGGCTAAAGAGGAGAACTCGTACCTATGTGGACCCAAGTTTAAGCCCTTCAGCAACATCTGACAGAGAGACGAGAAATCTAAAATTAAACATCAGTCTGAATGAGTGTCGACATGCAGTTAACACTGTAGCTGAAGTTTAAACCACTACAGTTGTCCTTAAATGTATTTATACCGTCCCATGAAAGAAGGAAAAAAAAACCATCTGTCACTGAAATAAGTTGAAATTGACAAAAGTAAAAATACATTTTAAGAAAATTATGACATTGCTTTTGAATTGTGGTTTAACAGAAATAAATAATAAAAAAACCTTGTTGAACAACCCTTTGAGCCAATCACTGCAATCAAGTGTTTTCTGTAACTCTCAATCAGACTTCTGCACCTGTTGACAGGTATTCTGATTTCGTCCCACTGCTCTAATTTGTCCGGGACAATTTTTTGTTTTTGTTTTAAATTACTTTCAGCCCCAGTTCAAAAGCAATGTCTCATTTCACAAAAATATAATTTAGTAATTTTTTATTTATTATTACTTTTTTCAGTTTCTAGTTATTTGAGTGACTATTGTGAATTTTGCCTTTTCTTTAATGAAAGGGTATGAATACATTTGAGGACGACTGTATCCAGTCCAACCAGTGCTGCCACTGATCTGATGATCTGTTGGCATCAGCTCCCTATTGTTTGCTTTGTTATCCATCTTATTTTACTCTCTCAACCTGCTTATTCATAAACCAGCATAAACTCAATTAAAGCAAGAAAAAAAAAAAGGTGGATTTTAAATACTTTACCTCGACCTCTTTTGTGTCTCCATGTTCGAAGTACTCCTGTACAATAGGGTTGACCATTTTTTCTAGCTCTTTCTCGTCTACTTCTGGTACAACTGTTGCATAAACCGTGTCCCCCTGTGCAAAACACAGACACATTATCAGTCAAAAAAAATCCTTTTATATACACAACACAGCCCGACAACATGGATGCACAATCATTACTGCAGGTTTTCCAGTTTGACGTGCAATGTGCCTGACACGTTTCAGTCCTTAGCATTTCTCATCATCTTCCTTTCACTGTTATAAGTTGAAATTTAAACACTGGTAACTGATGTCATGAGGATAATCATTAAAAACAACAGCAAGCTTAAACATCTACTGCCAACTTCTTATCAAATAAAAAAGATCAGATTTTTATCACTGGGATTTCCTTAAAAAGGAAGGTGTTATTTGTCCATGTTCTGTCCCTCTGTAGTTCAATCCAACAACTTCTCTCTTTCGCTTTGGTGTTTGCATTCATGAATGCCAAGAACATCAGTAAAAACCAGTCCAACAAACTTTTCAGGTCAGGTTTTGCATGACCTGGAGAACAATAGTACGCATTGACAGAATAGCAATCCTACTGCAGACCGAATAAATAAAACTGTAGCTGGAGCAGAATTAAAAGCTGGCTCCTCATTTTAGTGTCCTGTAAAAATTAGAGTGCATGTAACAGCACCAAAGTAAGAGTATAAAGAAGGATTATTGCCTAAAGTTCAACATGTTGATTCACTTTCCTGTTTTCTTCTTATGTTACACAAGTAAGTGTTGACTCTAGAATGGTAGAAAATCAATTTATGGCCAAGTACAGGCAAAGCGATGACCTGCGCCGAACATTTCTGCGAGCGCAGAAGGAAAGGAAGCGTCAATGCGTGTTATATTTCCCATTTTAGGGCTACTCATTTTAACATTCTGTCATTTTCCCCAGGGACAGGATGACCTGTGCCATTCACAAATCTTTCATCAGGTGATCCACTCAGTGTGATTCAAAGGCCACAGTCTGAACACGTCCCGGCTACTTTTCTGTGCCATTTTGTCCCAGTTCCCCTTTTAACACCCGACATCTTTCCAACTACCTTCGAGCGAAAGTCAAGGCCAAAATCGCACTGGCTTTTCTGACTCATTCTCAAATTGTTATCAGCCTTTTTTTTTTTACTGACAGAAGCTCCGTTCCCACTCTGCATTCAGTCGTGACCATGACAGGAGACAAACAAACTCGGCCTTCAGCGTCACGTCATGCATTTTCATGATAACAGGGTTAAAGATTCAACGTGCTGTTGATTATGATGGGATGGAGCCACCTGGATTAAACAATCGCAAGAGCAGGCATGTTTTAAATGAGCTCGGCCGAGTCAGGCTAACATTTCGATATAAATCAGTCTAGAATTCCTTAAGAGTGCTGCTATGTCTCTCCTCAGTCAGACGGATAACATGAACCTAAATTGTGAAAATGTGTGGACTGGTGTGAAAAATCTTCTTAGATTTAAATGCATTCAATACCAAAGAATTGATCATTTCATCCATCCATCCATTATCTATACACCGTTTAATCCTCACTAGGATCGCGGGGGGGCTGGAGTCTATCCCAGCTGACTCAGGGTGAAGGCAGGGGACACCCTGGACAGGTCACCAGTCTATCACAGGGCTACACTTAGAGACAGACAACCAAGCACACTCACATTCACACCTACGGACAATTTAGAATCACCAATTAACCTCAGCATGTTTTTGGACCTTGTGGGAGGAAGCCGGAGAACCCGGAGAGAACCCACTCTGCATGGGGAGACTCCACGCAGAAAGATCCCAGGTGTCCTCACTGGGATGCAAACCGGTGACCTTTTTGCTGTGAGGCAATGGTGCTAACCAACTGTGCCACCTTGCAGCCCTTGATCATTTCACAAAAACATAAAAACAATCATTCATGGATGAAGTGTTGAAATTCTGAAGACCCACAAATATCTGGAGTTGACCTTTGTTGGTCTTTGACAGGTTGAACTGTGTGGAGAAACCTGTTTTTAAAATAATAATAAGAATAATAATAAGGCTCTGCAGCATATTTACCATCTAGGTATAAAATTCTTTCACCAGCTTTATCAAACATATTTTAACTTTACTTCAACACTTTACCATCTACTTTACTTTGTTAAAATGACAAGAACCAATACTAAGATGTTAACCTCAGCTCTAAAATTATTGCCAAAACAGAAAGATCCCCATAGTAATCTTAATTATTAAAACTTTTTGTTATTTGCATAATTTAAGTAAATTGTAAAAACATATCAGTCACATGAATGAACTAAGGGCATTTATCACTCTTCAAAATGGATTTAAAATGATCTCCAAATTATTTGAAATAAATTATTCCCCTGTAGAAAAAAAATAAACCAGATACAACTGCTGTAGGTGTATCGACTGCCAATTTGTCCAGACTGCATATTCAGCCCAAGAACAGACCGTTTGATGCAAAAAGAAGTCACCACAAACCTCAATTTCATCATAAGACCTGCAGGTAGCTGTTATATTCATCAAGAAAAAAAACACTGCGCTAACTTGAGCTGCGTAGGAGACGTGCCAGGAGTCAGGATTTGCTGTCCAAAAAGAACATTAACAGCAAGACTGGTTTGCCAACTGAACATACAAGCAAAGAGCAGGCCTTCTGGAATAATGTGCTCTGGACAGATAAATCAAAGATAGAGTTGTTAAGACTCAGTAACAGCTGACATGGCACAGATCAGAGACAACTTTTCAGGAGCTGAACTTTATACCAGCTGTGAATCATGGTGGTGGGAATGTTACAGTTTAGGGTTGTTTTGCTGAATCAAGGACTGGGCAGCTTGCAAGTCATAGATTCATCGATGAATTCTGTGTCGTATCAAGCAGTCCTCAAAGACAATGCGAGGCCATCTGTCTAAAAGTTGAACCATGAGTGGACCTTTCAGAAAGGCAATGATTCCTTAAACCCACGAGCAAATCCATCAAGGAATGGCTCAGGAAGAGAAGAAATTGAGGGTTATGGAATGGCCAGATTTAAATGCTGTGGGGGGAGATGTGAAATGGGTAGCGCATGCAAGAAAACCCTCAAACATCTTGCAACTGAAGGAATTTTGCCGGGAAGAGCAGCCAAACATTTCAGCAGGCCAAAGTCAGAAAGTAGTGTACAATTATGCAAAATAACTGAAGGAAGCCATTTCTGCTGAAGGGGCCAACACTAACTTCTGAGACCAACACTGTACGCAGTCTTCCACTGAAGAATATTACATCTATTGATATATGAGTTGAATAACTGATTGAAGGAGCTAATTTTCCTTGTGTATATGTAGACACTGTATCCAAGAGGATCCAATATTTGGTTGTCCAAATATATGAAAAAGAGAACAATGTTTCTGCACTTTTCTTTTTAAACACATGACTGTGTGCACTACTGTGATGTTGCAACTATGGTCTTTCCAATTGTACAAACCCTTGTGTGTAACTATTTGTAAAGGTGCATTTTTGGATTGTTTTTAATGTGTGTATATGTGCATTGTTTGCACACTCAATGCCTCACATCAGTAAGTATTTTACAGTGGCTGACAGGGGCAAATGACGTGCATATACACAAACAAGCTGCAAATACATGAATGCGTTGCATGAACAGAAAACACTGCATATCCAGTTGTCACACAATGGAAGTGCCACAGGCCTCTAGGGGCAATAGTGAGCTTTTCACCTGAGAGGCAGACAACAGTGAGCAAGACAAGTGACGTTACTTGAGGGAAAAGCTTTATGAAAAGGTATGTACTCTCTCGTCTTCATGAATAAGCATCAATAATAGAGATAACACAGGGAGACGGTAGTAAAACACCACTTCAGCACCCATATAATCACAGTGACTGAAAAGCTAAAGACTTAAAAACTGCCCCTAGAGGCCTGTGGCACTTCCGCTGTGTGACTGAATATGCAGCGTTTTCTTTTTGCATTTGTTTTCATTCATGCAGCGCGTCTGTATATGCAGCGTTTTCCTGTTGCAGGGCGTTTCTGTTCATGCACCGTATATATGCAGCTCGTTTATGTATATGGACGTCATTTGCCCCCGTCAGCCACTCTAGTATTTTTTTTTAATTTTATAGGTTTTTTTTCGGCCTTTTTGCCTTTATTTGACAGGACAGCAGCGAGTGAGACAGGAAAGTGGGGAGAAGAATGGGGGAAGGACCTGCAGCACATGGCCATGTGCTGAATTCGAACCCATGACCGTTGTGTCGGGGACTATTGCCCCTATACATGAGAGCCATAGCTCAACAACCAGTTGAGCTATGGCAACGGCCCACGACAGTATTTTAAACTGAACTGTAGTTTTGGTATAAGTTCCAAAAAATTACAATTTCCTTTGATCATACAGTACGCTATTAAAAGATATGACAATTTATTACAGGAGAGCAAAACATTGTGAAATTCATTAGAGATTCAAGAGTGTATGCGCTTGTTGTCAGAGTGTGGACAAACATTATCTTGTTCATAGCTCAAAACCTCTTTTATAGTCCCTGTGTTTCATCAGCATGTTGGTTCCACACAAGACATAAAAAAAAAGTGCCAATTCCCCACAGGGCTTTGATCAGTGCGGCTCTTTGGAACAAAAAGCTGCTCCGACAACCATGTTAAACTAACCTCTGCGAGTGAAGCTCATTCACTGGAAAACACTGTTTGTGTGCTGACGCTCGAGTAATGCCAATATCTGGAATTAAAAGACTTCTATGGCACCATAGAAATAATAATTTTTAAAAATCCTTTAATAAACGTGTCAAAACTATTTGTCAGTATGTCTGCCACTATTACAATAATACAATTCTCCAAAGTAAAGATGTGCCACATTCACATTTTTATCGAAGTTGAGACCCAACTTTTCAAACCAAACTTGCATATTTCTGTATTTTCAGTCCAAAACATAAAGACAGACTCACCTGGGCAGCTTCATCATAGTTGGGGTCCCGAGCGTCAGGTTCCTCATCTTCATAAACCATCCCTGCAGCTCCCCAAACGCCTTTACCACCTGCCCCACCTGAAGACAAACAGCACAAAATACCCATCACCAACACAACTTGTGCAAGAAGTAGTTTGTGCAGTTAATGAATAGCAGGTCACACATTTTCCATCCAAGTAGTTGCTACTGTCAAGAATCAGCAAATACTCCATCCATTCATTATCTATACACCGCTGAATCCTCACAGGGGGCTGGAGTCTATTCCAGCTGACTCAGGGCGAAGGCAGGGGACACCCTGGACAGGTCACCAGTCTATCACAGGGCTACACTTAGAGACAGACAACCAAGCACACTCACATTCACACCTACGGACAATTTAGAATCACCAATTAACCTCAACATGTTTTTGGACTGTGCGGGAGGAAGCCGGAGAACCCGGAGAGAACCCACGCCACATGGAGAGAACATGCAAACTCCACACAGAAAGATCCTGGGTGACCTCACACACGCGAACCGGCGACCTTCTTGCTGTGAGGCAACAGTCCTAACCACCGATCCACCTTGCAGCCAGCAAATACTCACAAATTCTAAACACTAAAAGTTTCATGAGGAGAGGAAATCATTGCTTCTTCTTTTCCAACCTGGATTTTAAAGCTGTAACCTGTATGTTCAATGTTGTTTACACTCATTATAGAAGGAGAACCATCCATCTTCAGTGCACCTCTACAAAACATGACCTTTTAACCTATAAAAACATGCACTGCTCTGTTCTACGTACCTTTTTTGGGCAGTCCTCTTCCTTTGCCTGTCCTGGATTTGCGGTCATTGGTGTTGACTTTGCCTTTCGGACTGTGCGGGTCGCCGCCTGCCACATCTCCCGACTCGGAAATGGAGTCGCTGGTGGAGTTGCGGGACGAGGACTTGCGCAGGCGACGCTTGGCTTTGGCTTTGAGGCGGGCCTCGTGGAGGGCCTTCTCCTGGGGCGTCCAGTTTCCGTTCACCTCGGGGTCGTTCAGCGCGTCTTCGTCGTCACTGTAGGGCCGGGTAGCCTCTGCCAAGTTGGCGTCAAAAGAAAACATCCCTGTGATCAAAGAGTTACGACAGTTGATTTGCTTTGAACAACCTAAGTTGTACTGCGCCAGAAGGGGACAGTCATAAATCCTGCAAGCTATCTCCTCACTCAGGACATCAAATAGCCAAAAGAATGCGGACAACCATGTCAATGCCTTAGGTGTCGGTGCTCGGTTTTTACGGCTTGAGGTTGGCTTTAAAAATTTGTAATCATGGTCAATCATGATGTTTCGACAAACAGTTCAAGGCAATAAAGATGTTTCAAGTTTGTGGCATGAACATAATAATAAAGTTCCAATGCTTTTAAGAAAGTTCTGAAAAGAGAAGAGAATGTTATCGGTTCAGTCACATGTTGGCGTTTTGGCCATGAAGTGTACGTTTTAAACTTTCGCTTTCCTTTTGTGGTGCGACTGATAGAAACATACACTCTGAAAATATAAACCAAGTGGAAAAGGAAATACTAATTGAATTTTGTTCAAACACATGTATCAGTTACAGATTTGTTATTGAAAATACAGTACTAATAATAATAATACAAATAATTTGAAGAAAAATCCTGTCTTCACTTGTGAATCGATTCCAGAAGTAAACACCTGAACAAAGTTAATAACAAAAACTCCACTAAAAAAACAACTTTATGGCACAACTCTGCTAACAAAGCTGAGGCTGACTGCAAGCTTAACAAGGTTAATGCTTTCTGCAAACATGTTTCTGCCAGAGATGTTTATAAAGTCAAGCCAAGTCTTGTGCAATTACTACAGCTCCAGGATTTCGGGTGCACCAAACTGCTCAGGACTACAGCGAGACATTGGCACATATTTATGGTGTAAAGGCTGAGGCTGCTTGGTCTAATTCTACCTGCGTTTCAAACAGTATGGAATATTTAGTGTGTATTCTGCAAACTGCACAATTAACCACACTTCCACTCCAGCAGGTACACCAGCTGTGAGCATGAAAACAATGCGTTGTGACAGCGTGTGCTGCATGTGTCCTACGTGTGTCATGACAGGAATGTTTTTTTGCACAGCAAGGCAAAGGTCACACAACCCCCAAAACATTACACGGGAAGGTGGCACACGTACGTGGTTGTGACGCTTGCCAGTTCTATCAGCAGACATACGGTGGGACAAGTTGGTAATGAGTGAACTACTGTTCTGTGGGTGTGCAGAAATGCTGTGTTAAAGAACCTAATCTCAAACTGCTTCTTGTAAAGAGCAGAAAAAGAGCTGCAGCAAAACAACAAGTGGGACTGGAGCGTTGCTGCAGGCCTGGGAGGAGGGAGTGAAGGGAAACACATGCTGCAGAAATGCTGACACCAGTTTTTTGTTTTTTTTACTCCTCCGTCTTCTCGCGATCTGTGCGCCCCAGCTAGAGTGGACCTTACTACATATGGCATGGTTGGGGCCATGACTGGTCACATGACAGGAGAGAGAGGAGAAAGCAGCAGGAGGAATGTCTGAGGGTGTAATGAATACTCAGATCCCATGTGCGTGGCTCCAAATGGCAGTTTAAGGAGTTATGGCCTCTCAGATTATAGGACACGTAGAAAACATGTGGAGGAGGGGAGAGGGAGGGGGTAACAGCCAAGCCACAGATAAAACTAATAATCTAAAGAGCAAAAACCAAAATAGCTGCAACTTGAGTGGGGATCGTACTTCTATGTTTTACATGACAACTTTAAAAGAAGGTGTTCATGATTTCAAGCATTGAGTTCAGGCAGCTCAACAATGCGAAAAACAAAAGGAAGCACCTCAGAGGAAAAAAAGCAGGTCACCTCCCTGAATTAACCTGTTGCAGTACGAGCAGCACCACACCCTTGGCCTTCAAAAATCTGTAAACAGCAGACCATGTGTCACCTCCTCCTGCGGCTCCTCCTCCTTCCCTAAATGTAGGCCAAGAGGCCTTGCCAGGGCAGTAAATTAGGAACTAACCAATGGCAGCATGCCAAAACATTCAACTGGCCAACTGGAAAAGAGCAAAAAAAAAAAAAAAAGTCAAGGCAGAAAAAGTCAGAGCTCTTTGCCAGGCGTTGCAAAACAATCCTAACAAAAATGCAGCCAAGCCAACTAACTCTTTTAAACACAGTAAAGGACCGTGCGGCTCTGGAAGGAAGGTCGGCGTTTGACTGTGACTGTGCCAGGAGTGTTGTTTAAAGGTTCACCCCACAAACTGCAGCTCTGAACGTCACTGTCACAGTCCCCTAAAGCTGCGTAAACAAACTCACACCGCTGCCTTTAACACTGCACGCCTACCACAGTACACCAGCAGTATCATGATGGTTTTTCATCACCGCCCCCACGGTTTACCAGTTAACACGGAGCCAGATGTGGGCCGGTGAAGGACCTCAGCCCTATATGCTGCGTGGGAGGTTTGAAAGGACAGCAAACCTGAGCGTCAGTGGTATTTAGTCTTCGACATCCATACAGTAGCAGTGTTTATGAATGAGAAGGGGGTCAGTGGAACAGAGTTCCCACATAACTCAGCCTAGTTTTCCAAACTGTAACTGTAAGTCTCCTAGTCTGTAGTATTGACATTTTCAGGAGTGCAACATTTTTATAGCAGCCCTCTACTCCAAAACGCATTTTTTGCAGTGTAAGAGTTTGGCACCAGGAGGTTGTTATTATGTTTATCTGCTGAAAGGAGAGAGAAGGTTTCTCTTTGTTCAATTTAAATCTTGAGTTTAAGACAAACAGGATTTGTGACATTACTAATATGTGTCCAGAAGTTCATAAATTCTTAACTTTAGAATGAGGGAACAGAAACTCAAGTAACTCAAGCTTGGATTTTTTCATCCTCTCTAGAGAGTCTTGACATGTCTTAAAGACGCCCTCAGGTGAGAAAGCAAGTTGTTTTTTTTAAACCTCCATATGGCATTTTTTTATATGATGGAAGACCTATCCTGCATGAAAAAAGTTTTATTTTTTTAGGTTCCTTTACTCTTCTTCTGAATCAGTTTCTAGTTTGAACATGCATGGGTTAATTATTGCAATAGTTCAACTTGCCACCGTGTAGCGTACAGTAGCTTTGCAGTGTTTTAGCAGAATCGTGGGTGAGCTAGTGTGTTTGAGCTGCAGCGAGTGGGAAGTGGGTGGACATGCATCTAAGTCACCTGAAGGCAGGAGGGGGTATTCATGGAAAATCTTCAAAATATGCAACTTTGAGACAAAAAAAATAGCTTTTAAGGCTTTAACCACTAACGGGGGAGGGACATGTGTAGAGGGACCTTTCAAAGCCAGAAGGAGAAATCAGGCGTGTTTTACAAAAGCTTTGGCTAACTCACAAAAAGTTTAAGATTTAGCTTCTGTTTCAGTGTATCTTAACAAATTCAGTGCAACAACCCCAAGGCTGCAAGCAAACGACACACTAAATTAAGTTGTGATGACACCTCTGTGTAAACTGTTGATTATTAGCAGGTGCTGGTGGGTAGTCCACCACACACACAATTAAGGGTTGCACACAAGAAAAGACAGAAACAGTACTTTCAGAAACTTTTGTGCTGTTTTCAATGGAATAAAGGAAAGAAGAAAATGACATAAGTTTGTTGACTTGTGCCAGTTTCTTCTTTCTTTACTCCATGGTCCCACATCAGTTTGTGAAACACAGTGATGCTCTCAATCTCAATTTAACAGTCTTTCTCCGTTAACACAAACATAGATAAACATTAGCAGACACATGTGTGGTGGCCTCTGGGGTCAAATAAGCATCTGCACCATGATAAAGGGGACAAATAGAGAGCAGGCGTCCTGTAAATGGTCCTGCGGTGATTATCTATGACAGGAGAGAAGGGTGTGGATGTCCCTGGGGTTTAACTGTCATTTCATTTAATGAAAGGAGACTTGGGCAGATTTTTTTTAAACTTAAAAACATGTTCCAGGCGCACAGCCTAAACTTGTGTGCATATGATGAATCAGGTTTAAATATACAACTGTAGGAGCGGAGGCTGAGAAACTGGCCACACATGCACCACAAATAAAAAGGTCAAACAGGAAACTATGCTTTAGTTTCTTTTATCCAGGAACACAGAGAGATAAAAATAAACAGCTAAATGGAAACTTTTGCTGAGTGTGCTGTTTCTAACAGCTGCAGAGCAACAACACAGATAGCATGCATTCAGAAGATTAGAGCTACGCAGATAGACAGTCGAGTATCTGATAGCAGGGTTTGTTTGGCTTTTTTTTTTTTCAATAATCAGGGAATCACCTCCACTGGTGCAATGCAAAACGCAGCTTTGCACGGGTTGGGTGATTTGCTTAGTTCCTAAACTGAGGCCCTTAATGCAAACGAATGGTGTGTGCAAACACGTTTTCATGAACATATGTGGGGGTCAACAAAAGAACAGAGGCCAAGACCATAACAGAATGTGTACTCAGCAGGCCGCGAGGAGATCTGGCTTGACATTTATGGCAGGGTTTTTTTTTCCTTTATGCTCTTAACACATTTATTTATCCAAGGAGTTACATAAATGTTCTCACAGGTGGAGCTCTACACAGCCGTAAAATCTGCCCCTATAGGGCGCTTACAGCACAGACTTGCTCTGTGTGGCATAAAAACTTAAGGGAATGTTTGTGGTGAAACATCAAATTGTGTCCAATTTTCACAACTAATTAAACGTGTACTTTTAAGCCAAAAAAAATAATAATCATGATACCTTAAAACAACAAAAGGTTCTAAAGCACCAAATGTCGATGCAAAAGCTGATGCAACAACAACAACAAAAAGTCTATGGGAAAAAAGGAACCTGACAGCCAAGTAAGCAGTTCTGAAGTACACGGAACCTAAGCTCTCAACAAGCTCTGAAGAGTTGAGACTATTTTATCAAACTATTTCCAAGGTCGAGTACATTTACATGGTTATAGATGTGAGGAGGCAAGAAGCTTAAAAGCTTGCTTTTTCGTGAAGAGTCGTGTTTATTTTTTTAAGCAAATAACGGGAGTGTTTTGGCAACGTGCTTGACTAACAATGTAAAACATTTGCATTATGCCACAGTCATTTCATAATGTGTCTGATTAATCTGTATTAAAACAGCAACTATTAGTTGTGATCCAGGACCGAAAAGAAAGTCTTCAGAGCCTGATCATTAGGGCTGATTCATGTTTGATCGAGCTCTGTATGTTCCCCATACTGTTGTGGTGGCTCGGTGCCCAGACTGACCCACAATGCAACAAGGAGCTGGTCCCCCCTTTTTTGTTTTCCAGCCAAGACAATAGACTCTTTGACAGTGTGTGTTACCACCTCATCAAACTGAGGCTGCAGAAGAGTCCATCTGTGTACTGATGCACCAGCTGCTTTTACACTGCCACAACATACCAGCAACATACCATGTGGTGTGTGTCACTGATTCACCTCGGGCCTGTCTGCTGCAGATAGCTTTTACGCATATTAGAAAAAAAGGTATTATGAGTGTGGGGTTCCATGTTTACCACATATGCCTAAGACTGATGCATTAAGACGAGTTTCCAGGGGCTAACAATACGTTTCTTATATAACATTTAAACACACAACAAGGCAGGGATTATGTAAGGCGTTCCGATTGGCTCTTATAGTAGGCTATACATGTCGACGTCATCTCCAGGCTGAGAGAGGACAGCTCGGAACCCAGTGTGCCAGCAGCTCGGCTATTATTCACAGATCTAAAATCATCATCATCATGAGAGAAACGCTGCTGCAAGTCACATTTTAGAGTCTCTATGTGATGAAACGGGGCGATGATTTCTGCAACGCGATCTGATTTTAATGCAGGAACGGTGCTGCGCTGCGGCGTTTTTTGGCGTGCGTAAAAGGTTAGAAAGTGTTGCACGACTATCGGCGACTGAGGAGTCGTGCAAAGACGGATCAAAAAGGTGCTGCAAAGAAGAAGAAGAAAAAAGTGTGAAGTGTGCACACACAAAACATCGACTTGTCAAAGCGGAAGTACGCGCCATGGCCTCGTCCAATCAAAAGCGCGAAAGGGTTAAAAAAAAAAAAGAAAAAAAAAAAAAGCTCAACAACAAACGTTGAAAAACTCTGAAACAAAAGACACACACACACACAAATTGCAAATGGTTTTACCGACCAAAGTGCAAAAGCTGCTCGCGGTAATTCGTGCACGAGGAGACCTCGATGTGTTTGTGTGCGCTTTTGGACGGAGCACATGGTGGAGCATGGCTGGCGCTGCAGCCCATCCCATGCAGGGACAATAGATCGAGCAGAGCTCGGCAGCAAGGCCCCACAGCGATGGCTCCCCCACCGAGAGACTCTGCACCCGGTGTTCAGCACATCACGTCGGGGTTCATTCACTCACCGTCGGCTGGAGCTGCGGTGGACCACGTCTCCACTTCGGTCGCCATGGCTCTCTCTCTTTCGGTTAAAAGCCCTCACGGTGCCCTCTCCTCCTGTCGAGCTGCAACAGATTTCCCCCCCTCCAAAAAAAACTGCAAATCAAATGTGTGCACGGTAACCTCGTTGAATGCAGCAAAGTCTTTTGCACAAATGGCACCAAACGAGAGAAGAGAAACACTCGAGTCCCTCTGTTTTTTTCCTGCACGATCTCTCAGCTGAAAGGAACAAAAAAAAAACAAAAAAACGATGAAACTGAATTACAAAGAGAGCAGAAAAGGCGACAGAGTGAAAAAAAGCAGCAAGTCGCGGTGAGTTTCTCCTCAGAGGAGTTCCAAAAAGACGACTGTGCAGGTGGGGGCGAGTTAACTAGTCGGAGAGCATTTCAGCAGACAGCCTTGCAAGATAAACAAAGTCTGTTTTTAACTTTGCAAGAGCGACCCGAGTGGTGTCACGTGGAGGAAACGCGGATGGGGAGTGGTCAGTCGAGGGGGTGGGGGCTGGTCCTGTCTGACCAATCACAGAGCAGGAAAATATACCTCAATGTTTAGCTGTTTTTTTCTTTTCTTTTATTGCCTCAAATTATTACAGCGACTCCATTTTGTAAATTTTTTTATCCTACAAATATATCAGTGATCTGTAATAATCTTTTAACATTTTGCTTGTGTTCAATCACTCATTCATGCTTTTGTTTAAGCTGTGATCTCACGTTGTTCTTTACCTAATTAGGATCAATAAAGATTTGCGGTTTGGCATTATTGTCTGTATGACTTTAAACTGGACTCAAAATTTACTTTATATTGCATGTTTAATACAACAACGAAATGCTTTGGCATTGCAGATTTACCTAACAGGTTTAAAAGTTGAGGTTAAGGCCTCACAGTGTAATTTTACCCTCCTATTACCTTCAAATGTACCAACATCCTTTATCCTTGGGTTTCATTTGACCCCAGCAATTTAAACCTCCAGAAATATCATAATTAAAATTGTTACTTGTGATGCACAATATTAAAATTTCTGGCTGAGGCTGATATCCGATATTAAGATTTCTGGTATCGCCAATAACCGATATTACCGATGTCGATAGTATTTGTTCATGCCGAAAATGACTATAAATAAGCACTGTGAGAACATGATAACTATTCAAAAGAAGCACAAATTAGACCACATAGTCTTCTTTATTACGTAACAAAAGTAAAAAAAACATGTTTTAATATATTTAACGTTCAAGTCCAGGACCATTTAAGTAAAAACATCTGTAATCATCAGCAATATCAAATGTTGACATGAAGGCGCGAATGTTTGACAATCATTGGTTTTTCACGGCTAAGTGTTCATCGGACTGGTACCAATACATAGGAAAAAACACTAATATTGGCCAATACCGATGTGCTCGTTGATGTATCGAGCATCTCTAATTGTTACCCAAGTTTATGTGTAAACAGCCCTTTAAATAAAACTGAAAAAAAATGATGTCAATGACTTATTTAGAGATGTTAAACATTGAATGGGGTCAAATTGACCCCAAAGATAACAGGAGGGTTAAGATGTAAATTTACCTCATTATAGTTACTGTTACCACTAAAGCCTTGCAAAGTAACCTTAAATTTAGGTTCACTTGACTAAAACAAAAATGAGGCTTGACAAAACTATACATGGAAAATGAATCCAAAGATTCCCCATGAGCAAGTGTAAGTTGCAAAATTGGAGGTTTTTAACAGGAAGAAAGCTCCAGCAGCAAAAACCAGGCTCAGATAGAGCAGTCGTCTGTCTCGACTGGTTGGGTTGAGGGTAAGGGACAGTAGACAACAAAGTAGAGATAAAAGCCAGACTGATTGGTGGGACCAGTAGCTGCGGATCAGATCTGTGCAGCCCCAGAGCCAGAAATACCTGCAGAGATGTACAGGGAGAGAGAGAACAGAGAGGATAAACTACCACAGAGAGATGGTACAATGTTAGTAACCTGAGTTTGTGTATATAAACGCATGGAGGAAATGACGAGAATGAACACACCCAGGCCGTGTGAACAGGACAGCTGAGGTGAAAGTATTGGCTAGATGAAAGAACAGGTGGAGCTCTGATGGTAAAGAGTCAAAGAGAAAACAGGAAAATCAGGTTACCGATCAATACAAAACAGAAGTATGAAAAAGAAACTAGTGGACACGGTGCTTCTAAGTCAGAGCTACTGCAAAAACAGTGGCTGTTGGATGAATGAAACAGAGACGATGGTGTTACACGCTTGGATGTTCACCTCAGAGCAGCTTCATGGACTGTCCTGTGGTTTATCAGCCTGTTCTGATTAACTGCAGGGGACATACCTGCATGTTTATGTGCTGTCCATGTTCTCAGTGCACCTTTTTGAATTTTATTTGTCTCACAATGACTTTTTTTTTTGGGGGGGGATTATTTGGTGATGTAGAGGTTTGAGATGTCCTGGTGTTTTATCTGGTTAAGGACTTCTGTATGTTGCTGAATGTCTTTCTTATCTTCTCTTCCCTTATTAACTGTCAGGTCACTACAGCCTCCTGTGATAAATTATTTTAAGCAAATACTTCAACCTTTGGGTAAAGGAAAACGTTCAAATCTACACTGAAGTATTTTTGCCATCTGATTTCCCACCACCAGATGGTGCTAAAAATTGTGTAGCTACATTTGACAAAAAAAACTCTCAGATGTTCCTGGTATTTTTTACAATCATATGAATAAAACGTCTGCGTGTCGCTCGCTACCCCACTTAGATGCTGGCTCACTACCTACAATGTCCTCCTGTTCGCCGAGTTGTTGTTTATTTCTTCCACTGCAGTCAGCACTTCCTCTTTTTAGCCGCCTCAGGATATCATCTCAGTTGACCCACAATAACATATCAGGCCTGGAATAGTCATTGACAGCTCAACCTGCACAAGGCAAAAAATAACTTGTGAGTCCTGAATAATCCACTTGTTAAAAACTCTTTTGATAATTTGTGCAGTGTTTCTTGGGTTTACCATTTGGGCATTTGATTCAATGCATATTACCTTTGGAATATACAACATGCAACAAATCTCTTCTGTTTTTCTTTTTGACCTATGGAGTTCTTGTGGAGTTTTTTCAGAAACATTTTGACCTTTTGTCCACATGCAAATGCCATTTTAGATCGCATAAGACGGAGCTTTAGGTTCTCTAACCAGCTTTTATAGACCTTTGTTTGCAGTTGACATGTAAAACTGGAGTTTCTGGCCTGTAAAATCAGAATTTGTGTTATCTCATTTGTTTTAGAGCCGATTTTGTTCAGTGAAAAAATAGTGTCAGTGCTAACCTTAGTAATAGGATTTTTAAAAAAATGTACAGTTACTGCTCCACTACAAATTGACGAACATGGTCGTCAAATTCAGTCTCCACAGTCCTCATTATGGCATTGGTGGCAGCCCAATGGAACAAGTTTAAGCTTTGTTCCAGGCTTCTACAGGCCAGCATGGCTTTAGGATTAAGGTTATATCACCACCTTTTATTTTGGCCCTTGAAAGCACTTCAGTTGCGTTGTTGAGTTTTAATGTGGACAGGACAGAACCCAATTTTAAAGAATACCTGTCAGGACTCATTCACAGGCATTGCTGTGTTTTGAGGAAGACGACCAAGCTAAAGTTCGTTGCAGGAGAAGACACCTGTTTCCTCTTACGCAACTAGACTGAAATAATGAAGGTCTTGAAAGTAGATTTTGACCAGCGTCAGAATCTGCAAAGCCCCACCGCTTGGCCTCTTATCATTTCAGTCGAGTTTGTGCTTTGGTCGTAACTGCAAACAAACTTTTCGATTTATTGAGGAGAGAGCGGTTGACACAGAGTTAACACCGGAGCTGCTGCTTGATAATGTAGCGCCGGCAGTAATATTTCTAGTGGCACAGCAATAACTGTGACTCAGACTCTGTGTGAGAGGAACAATGAGACCAGACAGGTTTAGTCAAGGCATATGGTGGCAGCTCTTACATTACAATCACGTATAACTACAAAAGACGGCCAATTTTCTCACACTGCATGTTGTGATCGTCGCTGCTGATACACGGCGCCGTCAGCCCAGGCAAGGACACACATTTCAAACTCATCAAACTCCTGAAAAGCTGAAGCTTTCAGAGCGAGTGCAACGAGATGATTCATCCTGAGTCACTGGCAGTGACAGATACTCATGAGTGGGAGCCTTTTAGGTCATCCTATTTTCCCCAAATAAAAGTTTGACATTTGCTGTATTTCAAAGCAAGAGTGTTTGCACCAAAAGCAACAAGAAGAACGCTACGTGAAGAAAAAACGCAGACATGTATTTGGTAGCACATTTATTTTGACACAAAATTCCAAAGTTTTTTGTTGAGTTAAGTAGTGAAGATGTCCAACATGGCAGAATCCAAGTGACAAGAAATGAAAAAGAAAAACCTCAAATGAAAGAAACTTAAATACACCTGCACCTTCTGCAGAAAGCACCAGGATACATTTAAAGACCCTCTCTGGTGAAAATTGAGTTTTGGAATTCTTTCTAACTCGTGTGGCTGGATTAGAATAGCTTTACAGTTTTGAGCAGAGTCATAGGTGAGCTGGTGTGCTTGAGCGAGTTGTGAATGGACACAGAGATCTGCACGTTGTAGAAGAGGCAACGTTGAGTTACGTCTAAGCCATTTTAAGGCAGGAAGAGATTATTTGGATGGAAAATTTTCTAAACACTTTAATACAGAGAGATACAGTCGTCCTCAAATGTATTCATACCCTTCCATTAAAGAAAAGGCAAAAATCACAATAGTCACTCAAATGACTAGAAACTGAAAAAAGTAATAATAAATGAAAATTTGCTAAATTATAATTTAGTGAAATAAGACATTGATCTTGAATTGTGGTTCAAAAGACTAATTTTAAAAAAACTGTCCCGGACAAATTAGAGCACTTTGCTGATTAGCAGTGGACCAAAGCCAAAACACCTGTCAACAGGTGCAGAAGTCTGACTGAGAGTTACAGAAAACACTTGATTGCAGTGATTGGCTCAAAGGGTTGTTCAACAAAATATGAGTTTACAGGTCCCATCATGCTTATTTGCTTGTGTTTTTTGTTGTTGTTTTTAAAAAAAAAAAAATTCTGTCGAACCACAATTCAAAAGCAATGTCATGATTTTCATTATATGTTTTATTTATTATTACTTTTGTCAATTTCAACTTATTTCAGTGACAGATGTTTTTTTCCTTCTTTAATGGGAGGGTATTTATAAATTTGAGGACAACTGTAGGATTTTAAGGGTTTAATCGACCAGAGAGGATCTTTAAAAATATGACAGCATCTCACTGTTTGGATTTTACATCTGAGTATGCATCGGAAATCTCTACACGATACAAAATCAACTCGATATCTATGATGACATAAAAATGTTTGTGTTTTCATATCGACAAATATCATGTTAACAAATACCATCAACACTCAACTTTGGCTTCATAATAAGCGACGATGATTTCAACAACACAACAACACGGCTGACAATAACTCCCTCACACATGCGTACAACACACTGAAGAGCTGCAGGTAGAATTGCACAAAGATACCCTCAAGTTACACCACATTTTGCAGTAATATTAATCTGAACTACTCCACACACAGTCACATAAAGATACTGCTAAATAACCTGCCGTCTCGTAGCTGCAGGAGGAAAAGGAGAACACTTTGTTTTTCGCGGGAGACAAACAGTCTTGAGTTGTCCTGAATCAACAGGGTTTGACGTTTTTTGTTTTTTTTTCCTGGCAAAGTAGTTCAGCTGTACCAACGTGGGCTTTTGTTAATTCTTCGTTTCTTGGCGTTACAAAATAAAATCAGTACAAATATAGAGTAAATACTATCTTCAGAAGAAGAAGTAAAACAGTCCTTTGCAGTCAAAACTCGAGCGAGGTAACAGTCTTATATCAGGCCTTGGCCTACAGTGGCAATGAGGGCAGAGTTTGGGCACGTTGTCTGCACATACTAGCTGCTGACAAGGCGAAACAAATCAAACTTGCTCTTTATACACTGAACTCAGACAAGATTGGCTTCAATTAGAAATCAGTCGGGAGAAAAGTAGCCCCAGTTTATGCCCCTGGTGTTATTAGAGCCATGAGAGTGTGTATGTGTGTGTGTGTGTGTGTGTGTGTGTGTGTGTGTGTGTGTGTGTGTGCTGATTACAGATCATGTTGTAAATCTTTTGTCTAATGAATCAATGTGTAATTAGTACGAAATGAATCAGCCGCTGCAGTGTTGGGATTCAAACAGTTTAAAGTGAGAGTCAAGAAGCAGAAGATTTTCAAACAAAGAAGTTTGAAAGAAGCTCAAAAAACAGGCCTCCACAGGTTTACTACAATTTTCACAACTACACAAGAGCACTTTCAGAATACTCGAACCTTTGTCTCTCCACCTGGATAAAAAATACAAATAAAAGAGAGATCTTTTCCTAAATTGCAAATTAAAATATATACCCCATTGCTTGCTACTGTACAGGAGAATTATCGACAACTTGTGTTTTTTATCAGTGTTAAATAACATGAACCTGAGCAGGCTCCATCCACATGAGCTTAAAAGAGTTCATAAAGAATTTATAAAGGCCAGATCCAGAATTCTGCTCATACATTTATAAACACAACAGCAAATAGCCCAGAGCAAGGAAAATAAATGAGAAGATCAGGTTTTCTGACCTCCGTGTCTAAATAAAGAATATGAGAAATACTCTCAAAACAAGTTGTGTATAATATACATGTGCCCGTGCTGCTAAACTGGAGTAACTCATTTTGCATATTAGTTAGAAGGCAAAGGTAAGCACATTAAACTAAAACAACTGTTCTTTGTTAATCATTTGTATGTCAGATTATATCTGTTGTTTTGTTGTTGTTGTTTTAGATATTATACGCACTGAGAGTCCAAATTCACTGTAGTAAGTACAGTACAAAATAAAATGCAACATAGTTTGTAATTCGCCCAAATCACACGTCACATTGTTTTCCTCCTAAAAATTTCTGAAGCTACCAACATGAACTGCCACCGAAAGATACAAGTTCTACATTTCTCCGCCATTTTTCAAACTTTGCTTTGCAACTTGAAAACAAGATGATGCATCCTACGAGGTCTATCCTCCAATACAAACCTAAAATAAAGAAATGTACAGTTAAGTCACTACAGACTCTTCATACATAAGATGTTGCACATCTTGAGTACCAAAGGTCAAATATATGTCTTATTTTGTACAGGAGAAAATAATATATTGAAAAATATTACAATGCATATGTTTTCAATGATTAGTTCATGCATGTATTGTTAAACTTTACGTGGAATCAGTTTGCAACTCAGGAAATGGTTCACAAATCTTTTATATCACACAGTGGAGGTTTATTTTTATCCAGATGGAAAGAAAGGAAAAGTCTTTGACAAATCTGTGAATTTCTTCAGCAAATATCCAGGTTTTTTTTTTTTTTAAAGATCTGCAGGTATTGTTCTGTCACAAACATCGATGCTTATCTCTGTGAATCAGAGGTAATATTAATACACAAGACACAAACTGGGGCTAACGTGAAACCGGATAATCTGAGTTTGCACTTGGGAGAAACCTTAAGCCAAAGGCATTTAAAATGCTGTGTTTTTACAATCAAGGGCCTCTGCCCAGCACAGCTCATGGATCAGTAACAAAGAGGTAAATGTCTTTTTTCACAACAGTTTGTTTCCTATCAACCAGCATCAACTAGAATAAGGAAAAAAGTGTGAATACTATTGCTAAATACTATTTTTGCAAGTCTCACATGTACTGTCTATGTTTTATAAAGAGACTGCTAAGCACTGTTAGAAAACATTTTAATTTACAACTATTCACAATTTAAAGAAAACACACGCACACTCACATATTGGTAATAAACTAGAGAAAGCCTAACAGAAAATCCGTTTTCATCTAGGCACCATATACTTTGATCAACATCATACAGTAGCTGAAACTAATGAAAATGAAAACAATGACTGTCCAGCCTTTAGCCTAAAAAAATGTACAGCTGCCAAAAGGCTTTTATGTTGATATGTGTCCGTCAGAGCATCAGTGCGCTCTGAGACAGACTGGTGAGTCACCGCACAAGAGCTTTGAACAGAGATGATCAGACGGCAAAATGACCTTCGTAACAAAACCAAACTGCAACACAAACCTCGCAATCCCTAGACTCACATATGAAGGTACAAATTAACACATCTTTGTCCTTGACAAATAGAGCGAACTGTGGTGAAGTTTTCTGTCCACGGAACTGTAAATTAGTTGAAAGCTTTGCCTTCAGGCATTAGACAATTAAGTCAGCTTTGCAGCGAGGACACAGCAAAGTGGCCTCCAGTCAGCAAACTACAGAGACGCTTGTCTCATAACAACTACAGCAAGACAAACATGTACAAAAAAATGTGATCAGAGACGTTCTCTTTCTAAACTCGTTCTATTCTCAAGTACATTTTGTACTGACAATTAATTACAAGAGAGTACATGTGTGCTATTCCTATGACATACTGTGACCAGGACCAACTAACTCGACTTAATCCTTGGATGCACAGAGCATCGAACCACTGGGCCCACGGAGGCAGAGAATAAACTTTAGAGACAGACGCTGTGCACATAAAAAAAAAAAAAACCAGGATCAACCAGGATGCATTTAGAGAAAACCAGTCCAAGGGACGACACGTTAAGCCAGAGCAATATTCTAAAAAGATTCTGCTCTGTGACTTTGAACCCTCACGTCACACTTTTTACACCTCTGATTTTTAACAAGCATTACTCAACGCAGACAGACATCACAATGGGCACTTCTTTTCAAAAGTGTCTTCTCAAAGCCCACACCCGGCAGATTGTATTGCCTTGCTGCAGTTTCGGACACTTTCCCAGAGGTTTTTCAGTCAAGCATCATGCTATAAAAATTCTCTGTAAACAGTTTAAGTGTATTTTTTGTTGTTGCAATGCATAACCTTTTACATTCATAATCAGTGACGAGATTAAGCTTAAAGTGTCTGCCTTGTAAAAACTCAACAGTCCGTCCATGGAGGAGTCAGATTCACGTTGCCTTGCAAAAATGGCAACGAGGAACAAGTTGAAACACATTGAATCCAAAGTCAAACAGTCAGGTAATTATACAGTATATTCATATAACAGTATGAAACAACAACGTATTACCATAATGCCATTGTAAAGCTTTGCCACCCACACGCTTCAATCAACGTTTTTCACCCCTTTTCACGAAGGAAGCAAAATAAGACACAATGTATTTAACAGTGACACACTGAATCAATCAAACAGTTGCGTTTTGCCGTTATTTCCACTGATAAATGGAGGAAAGGAGGCTGGTGAAAGCAAAGAAAGAAAGAAAAACCCTGCAGCAAAAATACAACCATTACTTTTCAACATTTCAACATTTGTGAAACTGAGTTCAAAAGATAGAAATCTAGAAAGTAAAACTATTTAAGGGGATCCAAACACCCTTGTACTGGAGCTGCTCTTTTGAGAATGAAATTTTCCACAATCTGGTTTGAGGAACCTTCAGTTAATGATAAACAGTCTTGTTTTTTTAGATGCTGATTAAACTGGGATGACAGGAGTGAAGTGAGGCAGTGATTCCCAACCGTTTTTTTTTATGGTATTCCCCCTTAAATTGAAATAATATTTTCTTGTGGCCCCATCACACATTGCATGTCAACGAGTTGTGATTTTTTTTTTTTTTTTAGAAAGGACTAATTCTCACTTCTTAGTTTGTTCTATGTGAATCATTTCTTAATGCCGAAAGAGATAAAAACAGAATTTTCATTTTCAGATTATAGAAAAGTCTGATTACTTTTTCCTATAGTTTTGAAAAGTGGAACCATACTTTTCTTCTCATGACTTGTGTTGTCACACCCTAAATGTGTTCTTACCTGCAGGTTGGGAACCACCGACGCAAGGCGTTCTATGTGTAAGAGCTAAAATGCTACTTTGAGAACAATGTTGCATCACACAGAAAAGGGGGAAAGAGGATTAAGTGGAGTAAAAGTGGGTTTGGTTGGTGTGCAGTGCATGTGTTTCAGTATGTATGCAGGTATTTGCAAAGCAGCTGCTTTGAAAAAAGAGAAAGCACAATTAATTAATTAGCATTTTGTAGAAAAAAATATGCCATCTCCCAAACCTCATACCAAATAAAGTAACTATGAATAATAAAAGAAAACTTTCAGGAGTCGGGTTCCCTTCGAATTTCTCCAAACAAAATACAGAGACACCAAAAAACTCCATTACTCATCCTGTTCCTCTGCTTCCAACCACTACAGTAAAAGGATCCTCAAGACTTTTCTTCAGTGATTCTACTTTTCACCTACTAGTCTTGATCTACAAGTAAGCTGTCGAGCATAAATATGTCACTTTTCCCTCTTGTTTCACAACACCTCCCATCTGGTCACCTTACGAGGACTCCACAGTGACGATGGCCTCGCCGCTCTTGTGGATGACGGCGGACGACGATGAGACGTGGCCACGCTGCTCCGCACAGTTCTCCACGACAGGCGAGTGCACGGCGGCCTTCGTTCGGTGGGAACAGTCCACACTGTCATGCAACATGTCTGCTTTTTCCCCCTCCTTCACAACCTCTTTCCCTCCTTTACTAAAGTGGCCTTTCTGCCTCTCCTCTTCCTCCCGTTCTTCTCTCTTCACATGGCAGCGACACACCTCGATGCCTGAGTCACCTGTTAGTCGTCTATGCCGGAAATGATCCTCCTCCTCGTCATCTTCTTCCTCCTCTTCTTCCTCTTCTTTTTTCTGCTCCTCTTTGTTGCTGCGATGCACGAAAACAGCCACGTTTGGCGAGAATAGGGCCTGTTTAGGGGGAGATGGTCTGGGATGGTCCGGATCACAAGGTGAGGTTCCTTCCTGTGCTTTCGGAGTGCCCACGGCTCCAAGAGGGTCTGCGGAAACAGGAGGATGCACTTGACCAGGAGGGATGAAAGATAACAGGACAAGAGGAGAGAGCGGAAGGCGTGAAGAGTGTGAAGGACGAGAGTGTAAAGGGAGAGACAGTGGCGGAGCTGGAGGTGAGACTCCTTCACTGCTATTAGAGGAACATCTCTGCACTGGTATGACGTCTGGAGTGGCCGCAGGTATCACATCAGGTGGAACTTGCGATGGAGGAGGTGGGGGGGACGTCGGCGTGAAGCCAGCCCCGACTCTCGGCATGACGGCAAAGTCGCCTCCTGCTTCACTGGGCGTGGACATGTGGCTGCTGTCGTACGTCTCGTCTGTCACCTGCACAGAGAAGGAGGTGCTGGACGGGGAGGTGAGGGAGCATGACTCACAGGAGCAGCTGGTGTAGTTGTCGGAGCTCTGGGAGGAGGTCAAGCCGCTTGGGCCGGGGCCCAGGTAGGGAGGACAGGGGTGACGGTGGTGGTGATGATGGGGGTAAGAGGAGCCGGGACCCCCTGTGGTAGCTCCTTGTAAAGCAAAGACGGAGCTGTAAGGTGGCGGAGGAGTGCTGGGCTGCGCAGCCACCTCTTCGTAGGAGGGCAACTTGAAGGAAGCCAGAAAACCTGCGACAGAAGAAGCATTGACTCAGATGCAGATTCTGCTACGTTGCTTACTACAATCAGGCTGGCAATTCATTTTTAATGATTGATTTACTGGATCATGTTATATTTAGCAGAGTTTAATTATTAAACATTTTTGTTGATGTAATTTTATTGTGTTTGGTGTAATAGCAATGCTGTCCTAATAGGTGAAAATAACTGCTGTAATGTTGCAATGCACTGTATGTAGAGTATACAAACACTATTATTGTTGTTAATGTAAAAAACTAAAACAAAACAAGAGTGGAGACATATGCAAGACATGTGCAAGGTCTGGAAAATTTGTTTCAGTAAGTATTTAAAAAGAAAAAAGAAACAATTTGAAAAAAGCTCAAAACACAGTTTGAAATGCATACTGTCTTTAAAAGAAGTTGCCAAAAGTCTACCATTTATCAGAGCCTGAATTAACCAAATATAACCTTAAAATTGTGATATTTTGATATAATTTGTTTCATTTAAGAATTTGCCAAACACACACACACACACACACACACACACACACACACACACACACACACAAAACAACAACAACAAACAAACAAAAAAGAAAAAAAATGCACTGCTTGAGTGAACCAAGAAGCTTTGGCTGACTCAGCGGTCAGTCAAGTCACTAAAATTCAGGGACTATTTAGCTGAACTGGATTGAACTGCAGGATGTGTTAACACAGAGCAGACATTAAAAAATAAGTATATTAAGTCATCATGTTTGTTTTTTTTGTTTTGTTTTTTTTAATGTAAATTAAATATTCTAACACAGTTAACATCTTTTTTTATCTTCAACTTTTAACTGTGTCCTATTGCACAGAGGACATTTATAAGCGCTCTCTAATTCTAGCCACAGGTGCAGAAATGTATGCGTGTTACATGTGACAAGAGCAAAAACCATCCAGAAACATTTGGAGTTCAGAGTATTTAACCTGTTTTAGAACTGCACTGAAATGAACGTACTGAGGTCCAGCATTGAGGAAGGGTAGTTGCAGGCTCCGTTATAGGCGATCAGATTGATTTCTCTCTGTCTCTGCTGCTGTTGGATTCTCAGCTTGGCCCGGCGGTGGCGGTAAGCACAGAAACAGCTGAACAGGATCAGCACCGTCCACAACAGCCAGAACCCTGCAGTAAACAGGAAACGAAGCCAGCGCTCATCGTTATGAAAAGAAACAAACATTCTGGTCTGAATTACTTGTCAGACCTACACAGATTACACAGAAGCACAAACTGTTACAAAAACACAATATCAGTGGGTTTTGGACGTTTTATCCCATTTCATACAAATGATTTTTGCTTCACATTACTGCTGTTCATTTTCCAAAGCACACCCTGAGAATGCACTAACATGAATGATGGTTTTGAGCTGTTCAACCATAAATGTTCTGCAGTGATCTGACCATGAAAATCTTCAAGTTTCAAATATCATGATGTTTGTTTTTAATACTAGACCAACTTCAACTACATGGCATTGCAGCCTGTGATCTAAAACAGCTGTTAGGTATCTCCTAATGTTCTTCATTCATGGCAGTGTTTAATTCAAGGTTATTTTGTAAAAAACAAACAAAAAAACAAACAATGAAAATGGTGAAAAGAAAGATTTGTAAAGGGAGATGAGAAAACCCAAATTTTGCCTATATACGACCTTTATCTAAATCTAGGCCTAACTGTTGGCATATTTACAATGTCACAGACATACGTAGGTCTTAGTAAAAAAAAAAAAAAAAAATAGTAAAAAGCTTCCAGAAAAGCAGTTAAACACTTCAGACATGAAACCTATTCAGGACTTCCATGTTGCCATCCATAGAAGGTCATGTGCAAAAGTAATGTAAAAGTAATGTGCAAAATATCTGTCGGTATTTACTATAGACGTTTATACTATGTGAAATAAATTCTCTGATAAGTTGAGTTCCAAATGCATGACAAATGTCCCTCTTATTATATTAAAAAAAGAATCTTCAAAAAAAAAACAAAAAACAATACCTATCAACTAAGCCACATGGTCTGGGGTCCAAAAGACCCCAAAGGTCCTGAATAGGGTTAACAAAGATGTAATTTTGACCATATGATAGTTCTATGAGCTAGAAACACTACATCTTACTAAAAAGCAATTTTAGTAACAGAGATGTGGAGGGAGATGAAGATTTCACAACTAACTGGTTGACCGTGTAGCGTGTAAATGATCTGGACCGTCTCCCTGACTCAATTTCCTGTTAAGATTCTTTTCACACAGAGTGAGTTGTCTGCAGATTCTGGTGGGACACATACAGTCAAAATAACAATCACAAGGCAAAAATAATTCTACAACCTGTTCTAAATATTTAAAGGTAATGTAAGAAAATGTTTCACTTGATGTGTCAGTGATTCATGGTCCTGTCCACAGTGACACAGTGGAGAAGAAGTCAGTCAGGTGACTCACACCAGAGTTCATAATAGTAGGTACAGCAGCCCGTCTCTCCGCAGCAGTGTCCTGTTTCACACAGGTAACCTGGACTGTTGTTTACTCCAGGACAGTACTTGGGACTGACTACAGGCTGGCTACCAGAACTGCCGTGAGGTTTCACCACCTAGTGGGAAAAATACCACATTGCAATGTAAAAACAGTGAAAAAAAAAACAACATTACTAAACATTTCTTCTTTATGATTTCCCTTTCTAGATTTTTTCACAGCATTTAATCAAAACATAAGGTGAGGACAGAACAGGAGAGACTGATGCTAATCTTTTAACCAAGACGGGGTCATGAGCTCCCCGTGTACACGACTCACTCAAAGTCACATGATCGCAACTGAACCTTCTCAATAAGATATAGGTACCTCCTAATGGTGAACATGAGAGAAAGTTGAAAATTTCAGGAAAAACTAGTGGGTGGATTTTAAAGCTAGCGTATCTGAATGTTTGGCCACCTTGCCTAACAAGTCACAAACACCCTGGAATGTGTGGCTATACATTATGCCAGACATACTAGAAAATCTTTCCTTTTTTTTTATACATCAAGCCAATGCAAAGCAACAATTGCACCAATTTGCTGTATTAGTATCCATTTAATGCATACAGTATTCATTCTTCTGGTCTCCACCATCATCTGGAGGGAAATATCTTGCACTTTAGCTTCCCCCTTTTATTTTAACATGGGATAATGATCAATTTAATTTGCCTTTTTAAGAGCAATTTACAAAAAAATAAATAAATAAAAAGTTTTTATTTCAAAGTGAAAATTGATTTCCACAATTAATTAAAACTATAAAATGTAAAACAAATGACTACATAAGTATTTACATCCTTCAAGCTAGTGTTAAATAGATGCAGCTTTGGCCACAATTACAGCTTTGATCCTACATGGATAGGTCTCAGTCACATTACACATCTGGCACATCTGCATTTACCCCACTCTTCTTTGCAAAACTGCCTCAGCTCAGTAAGGTTACATGAGGATCTTAAGTCAAAAGCCCATTTCAAGTCCAGTTACAAATTATGTATTGGATTGAGGTCACATTCATGGTTGTCTTTGAACCATTTCTGTGTCGCTTTCGTTGTATGCTTTGGGTCAATCTGTTGCTGGAAAACAAATCTTCATCAAAGTTACAGTTGTCTTGCAGACAGCATGAACTTCTCCTCCAGTATTTTCCTATACTTTACTATATTTAATTTACACTCTACCTTTACAAGCTTTCTAGGGCCTGCTGCCGAAGACTATCCAACATCATGATGCTACCACCGCCATGCTTCGCAGTTGGGATGGCGCGTTTGTGATGATGTGCAGTGGTTGGTGTCCACCAAACATAGCATCTAGTCAATATTGAAAGAACCTTTATTCAATTCAGAGTCTCCCACATGACATCTGGTGAACTCCAGTAATGTATATTTTGACACGCTCACATAAAGATTTGATTGTTAAAAAACCCAATCAACACTCTCTTCCATCTCAGACGTTGAAGCTCTTTCAGAGGTATCATTTGTGTTGTGGTGGCCTACTTCAGTCATCTCTTTCTTTCACAGTGACAGTCAGGAGTACTGATTCAAAGACAGTGACTGGACCTTCCAGATACTGGTGTCTTTATACTCAAATGATTTGAGACACATCAACCAATCAGACCAATCAACTGCATCTGTGTTAAATCAGGTGAGTCGCTTTAATATTTAAGCAATCAATTATTTTACATTTTATATATACAACTAATTGGCATTACTTTGTAAAAATCGGTTTTCATTTTGACATGAAAGACTCTTCTTTGTAAATTCTCATCAATAAATTCAAATTAAATTGACCATGGTTTCATGTTGAATGACAATAAAATGGAAACACAAGGGGGTGAACACCTTTTACAGGCACTGTATGTTCAATAGCTAGTAGCACCTGTCTTCCTGCTGCTTGGTTCTGGGAGACTTTTTCAGAGCTTTGTGCTAAAAAAGGTGTTTACTGCAGGATTGATGTGAGCCTGAATGTCAACTAGGTAAACTAAACCAACTCAAGCAGTAAAGCAGGAGGCTGAAAAACCAAACGAATGAGCTGAAAGTCGCTCAAATCCTTTTAGAGCGTATGGCGTCCTGATTAACTCTCTACCTTGGTTGCATTGATGCATTCATCTTTTTCATTTAGGTGCAGCAGCTCATAACTGACAAATATCTAAAATTCGTCACAGATGGGCTTCTGGCTTGTGTTGTTATGAAGAGGACGCCGTGATACATATAAACAAAAAGCATCATGTAACTGGCCACTCCAACAGGAGAGCAGAACAAAAGGGCCGGGAACATGCATTGACAATGGGTGTGGAGCTAGCAGCAGGGACTAGCGGTCGGTCTGATACTGACTGGTCAACAGTGCGTTCATAATTGCTGGGGGTCCACTTGCCAGCACCTCCCAGGCAAAACAATGCGCTGCCCCCTCCCCAAGCCCAAAGTGACCTGACACCCCACATGATGTTGCTCAGTCATAGGGCATCAACAGTGTTTACTACCGACATATCATATATGAGATAACACTATGTGACAGCAGCAAACAGCCAGAGCACTGCACGTTAGAAAATCACCAGGATGTTATAACACCCACAAAGCAAATAAAGGAAAAAAAAAGTCCAAAAAGACACACTTTGTATTTCATTAGTGTCGAACTGAGAAATAGTAAGAAAAAAAAAAATTCAGCTAAACCAGCATGAACAAATGTCACTAAAATATGGAGTAACTCTGCCTGTACCCAAAATATCAAGCAGCTAAAATAGAACACCAAACTGCAGTGACTCAATCTCGTGGGCCAAACACAAACTATAGAAACACCTGTGACTCAAAGCGCACAGCAGCAATAGTTTAACAGACCAAAACGACAGAAATGGCGGCACTCTAGAGCTCCGAGAGTCATCATTTTCTATGAATTCCTCGCAACCGTTTTCATATTACATGCCGCACATTTAACCCGTTGTGAACAGAAAAACATTGGTTACCGACGCTTTAAGATTATTTTGTCAGATGACGGCATGTTTGACGGCAGCTACAGGTTTAAGATTAGGTCTGAAAATAAAATCTCCCACCTTATTAATTGTACTCATGTCAATCTCCTTCACAGGCACCTAAAATGAGAAAAGAAAAAACTCTGTGAGAGAGTGAAGAACTAAAGCCCACACATTAAATATTTGACACATCATAAAAAGCCATTACATTTCACTGCTTTGGGAGAAGGGTCAAGACGAGCTCAGAAGCAAAACTATGAAGCGCAATAATAATGCAGCGAGAAGATGTTGCTAAATCTATTGTGTACATAGTTACCACACATGAGACTCAGAAGTGCTAACAAATAAGTATGCATTGCCATAGCAACCACTGAGAAAATGGCTTTAAGGCTTTCTACCAACGTGGACAGTGTTTTATATTATCCAGCGGTGCAAAATGGTTAGTTGTGGTTAAAGGTTGAGCTCCCCTACCGTAGCATCTTCGGTTGCATCCAACCCATGCAGGGACATAGTCATCTGACAAAAAAACAGAGAGAGACAACAGTTAGGACGGAGCAGCAGAGATGAATGCCATGACGTGGACGGCGAGAACAAGCAACAGATCTGCCGTGCACTTATTATTATAATAATCAAGCATAACAAAGAGGCCACTAAGGGCCCATTTTCCAGTCAGAAGCCGCTGGCTGCCACGCTCCTGGATCTTCAAGGAGATGGGAAGGTCAGCGCCTTTTTAACAAAACCTATTTCTCCTCAGCTGGAAGAAGTAGCAGCAGGCAGAAGGCACCAATTACCAAACACCTCTCTCTCTGTGCTCTCTTCCTCGTTTCTGTCAAATACACTCATGCCTGCAAAATGAGCATGTCTGACATTGTGATAAATATTTAAAAAAAAAAAAAAAAAGGTATATATATATCACAGATTGTAACCACCAATTATTTTTAGTACTGCATAGTCCGCTGACGATATAACAAGTTAATACTGTAAAATGCTACAAAGAAAAACATTCAACACATATTCTAAAAGTCCAGGAAGAGATGTTTAAATATCCTGTTTTGTTTGACCAGCAGTTCAATTCATTCTTCCAAAAAACTACAAATCCAACATTTAAGAAGGTGAAATCAATGAATGTTTGGCATTTTTGATTGATAGATAACCCAATCAGCAAGTAAGTTATCAACTGACAGCATTCTCAAAACACCTGGCCAATTTAAAAGATTTGTAAAATTTAGACAGATTTGGGATGATTATATTTTACACCATTACCTGATCATATATATATGATTTGTGTCTGAAGATGATCTGCAGTGGAATTTAGTACTATATGTTCATTTAGCCAAAATTTCATGGGTGTCACTGATGCCCCTGTAAATGTCACGCAGGCCTGCTGCATGCAGTAAAATCGAAAAATGTCAGCGTGTGTGCTGGTTGTGGGGCCGCTGTAAAAACAATGTGAAGACACTGGGGGCTCAGCAAACCTGCAGCCATGTAAATGAGACCTCTTTTGTTAACAAATGGCTTCTGGTTATGTGGTCAGCATGGGGAACAATGTTGGCTCTAGACTGCAGTGTGTGTGTGCGTGTGTGTGTGTGTGTGTGTGTGTGTGTGTGCACAACACATGCCATTGCAGGCGCTATTTACCAGAATCAGAATCAGAACTACTGTCTGTTCACAAAGTACCCAATATAAGGGATCTAAATTTCATAAAGCTGCTAACTTTAACACGCTGAACGAGTGACAACAGAAGCTTAGTTAGCAAAGACACACTCATATTTAATATCCTTTACTGTAGTAATCATACACAACTGTGCAGTAGTGTGTAGCATACACCTCATAACCACCTGATGCATCCACAGGTTCATTAGCAGCACACAGAACAACACTGGTGAAAGAGCAACATCGAATCAAGGACACACAGGCTTCAAACAAGCAACCAGCACTGCAGCATGCAGAGGAAATGAATAACTCAAGTTTTCTGGTTTCAAACAGAGCTGCGTGACCAAGAACACGTCAGCTTCGCAGGTCGTGTAATTATGGGAATTATTTAAAATAGTATACATGGAGGAATGTTAACATTCTTTCCCACAGAACATGTTTTCAATTTAACATAAGAGGTCAAAGCGCTGTAATCTGCACAGGCTGAAAAATAACTTTTTTTTCCCCATTAATTGATAGTTTTTAGGCACGTTTCACTTAACACCAGGGATACATGATTTTGGATTTTCTTCTGATATGCTAATATTTTCCAACTCTTTTTGGCTGATTGCAGATGCTGATATATTCACATATTTTGTCCACCTCATTGCAGAGAACATTAAGCCTCCCCTGTAGTGGAATTAACATAATATTATGCCTACTCTTATCGTGATGGCCCACTGACAGGTGCAGACATAAAGTACAATGCTTTGCAAATGTGCCATTTACAAGGCAAATAACAAAACTCCTTCCACTTACATATAAAACATGCCAAGTTTATTTTTATGCAACATTTTAGCCCAACAGGGATCACTGGTCTGTCAGTGTTCATAATGAGCCAATGCCCATGATGCATTTAAAAGCCATTAACAGCTGATGCTGATGATGCTGCTGATTTCAGATTGACGCGATCTTATTTATAATTTGTATCTTCTTTCTGCCCCCGCAACCCTAATGAGGATTAAGCGGTGTATAGATAATGGATGGATGGATGGATCTTCTTTCTGCTGTTAACTAGAGCTACATCAGAGATTCTGCAGTGTTTTTTTTTCTTTAAAAAAAGCATAAACCTCCACCGATATTGTCCAACAATAAATCTCTGTCATATCCTACAAATATAGCCTCAGGTACCTCATAACTGAACTAATCTACACTGTTATGAAAGTCAGAGTCACGAGGGGTAATGTTCTGTCATAAATAACGTCAAGCAGAGTTTCTGTGGTCAGCCCACCACATGGCAGAGGATCAGCACATGAAGTGTGTAAAGTCAAGTCACTCTGGCTTCCCCGAAGACCGCAGACTAACCACAAATGATTTCCACCCAGGGGACCCCAACGGTCTCCACTGCACTGCGAACAAAACTGAGGAGTGTAAGGAAAAAATGATGATATTCATCATTCTGAAAATAGTCATAAAAGCACTATCCAGTCAAAGGTTAAAGGTCAAATTATCGCTGTCAGCTGTGAGTTGAGCTGGAGTAAGACGAGGCAACACTTTCTGCTACACTGCAGCCAAAGCAAAGACAGAAGGACCAAAATCAAACTTAACCAAGAAAATGTTTGTTTAATCAAAACAGCAAACAACTGAAATTGTCATGGAAGCAGCAATATACAACATGTGAGAACACGTTACAGCCAACGTCGACAGCAATACATTAAAAGTGTACTGGCCTCTGTTCTTTTATGGTTCTCAGTGTGGAGTTTAATTCAACTAATATTAAGGACTTGTTTGCAGTGACCTAACCTATTACTGGTTGAAATTTGTCTCTGACTTTCTCGATTCTTAAATTCTAATAGTAAATCCTGCACAGACCGCACTGACAATTCTATATTTATAACAAAGGTGACAATTTATCATACTATGCAGCTTTCACCACAAGCTCTCCTCGAGTACTTTGAGCATAATCGACTCAGCCGTGTGTTCACTGATGTCTTAACACAACTCAAAACAACACACTTGAAGCAGCAAACATCATCCTGGGATGAACAAGCAGTTTTCCTGAATCAGCAGTACAGTGTTCTTCTTCTGAACAACCAACCGTACATTAGATTTATTAGGCTCTTAGAATCTGGCAGGCTCCTGTATAAATTAAGGTGAAATCCTTTGTGCATTAGAACAGATTTTAAAAGCAACATTGACGGTAACAACTTAATTGAATTCAAGCAGAAATCCCAAAATATGTAACCTAAGTGACAAAGTTAAGAGTCTGTGGTTGTCCTGTCAGCGCAGAAACTGAGTCCAGGCAGCTTTTTGGTACATTTTTAAAGCGTCTGCAAAATAATCACACAATGTTCCGGATAGATGTTGCTGTGCATTAGAGGAACCACTACTCTAAAAGCTCATCAGTTTTGCATTGCCCCCATCACCACAGCCAGCCTTGTCCATTGTCAACCAGCCATGCAAACATAAACCAAACCTGCCTGACTTGACTGGACACTAAACATTTGCTGCAGTGGTGCAAAGAAGGAAAAAAAAAAAAAGCCCTGCACCTGTTGTCTCCAACAATATGTCAAAGGTGCAGTGGCACAAGGTGAAGACATGAAAAGACAGCGAGGCCACTGTGTGTCATCATCATCAACAACAACAACAACAACAACAACACAGGCCGAGGGCAGCGTGTTGCTCTGCAGAATCAGTGGAGCCCAGCTGTTGACAGCAGCGTGTGCGGTGCGTTACCTCCACAGCCTGCACCCCGTGGCAGAATGTCAGCGTCTTCTCTGGATCCATGGCGATAACCGACTACCAAGCTAAACAGAGAGAATTTAAAAAAAACAAAAAAAGAAAAGAAAAGAAAAAAACCCGCACAAGAGGGGGGATGTTATTCTGCTAAACCCCCATCACCGGTGTCCCGCTCCACAGACACGGCATCCTTCCCATCCGCCATTCCCCCCTCAAACGTACCGGATGCCCCTCCCAGTGCTCCGCTGCACACGCCAGGACCACACTCACGCACACGGTGGGGTTTTTTTAACGGACGGGACGGAGGGATTTCACGGTCTAGACGGCGGAGTGGTCGGCTGCTGTCTGTCGTAGTGAAATGAAGATGTTTCACTCGTGCTTTTTTGCAGAAGGGGGGACGGAGCTGTGCATGATGTCATGCTTCTCCAGCCACCAAACTACTTGCATGGAAGCGCCGCGACTTTGATTGGCCGGAGCTCCCAGCAACAGCCGCACAGAGGCTGCCTCCACTGGGCTCTGCATCCACACTCTGTTGCTCTGTGGGCACAGATCCACGAGGGCTTTTTTCTTTTCTTTTCTTTTTTTTTTTTTTAAATAATAGTGAAACATGACATGAACAGTATATTATGCAAAGGTGATCAAAATGTAATTGTGGTGGGGTTTTTAAAAAATATATATTTTTATCTGATTAATGAGTCCTCTCCTGTGCAATATCAGTTAAATGTTCAAATTTGCATTGCCTC